ACCGAAGGAACCAGTTAGGGTACTAGGCTGAACTAAAGGGGGAAGAAACCTTATTGTATGAGATACAGACACTGAACAGAATGGGATATCAACCAATAATTAGTACTGATTTGAACAAAACGGTTGACGAAAGGCACTTAGACGGTAATTGTGGACGAACTATACAAGCGGACCACGAATCATCGGTTCACCCCGTCCTATGTACTGATGCACCTGTAATAGATATCCCACATTATAATCTTTGATACGACTTTTGTCCAGGATTACAGAATGGATGCCATGGAAACCAGGGATGGATTATGCCACAGTAGATTCAGTATACGATGGGAAAGTTAGCGGAAAAAAGATGAACTAGGAAGGGAGAGTCGAGTCCCAGCCGGAGATCCGATCATCGATGGGAATGTCGCTTCCTGACGTTCAGCTAGAATGTCGTCGAAAAATCATTCAGCTTTTCTGCTTCAAATGATTTTTCTTTTTTTTTTTTTGTGTTTTATAATTTCGATTGGGAGTGATGGAGAGGCAAGGCGAACGCTTCGGCTTTACAACAGTCTAAATTACAGTTGACCGCAGGCGGTGAGATAGATAGGAAAGCTGCAAATACAGAAAAATTGACGAAAAAGCAAAGAGGGAAACTTCCGCAATCTGATCGATCGGCTGCTACAGAACTCCTAGCAACACGTTTACCGCCTAATGAAGTCGGGAACGCGAAAACAACACCGGAATCAAGGTTTTTTTTTAAAGCATTTAATAGTACTGCTTTTGAACGATACAACTAAATTTTGAATCTTTTAAAGATTTCATTACTCCCAAAAATTATTTTTCTACTGTCAGGATCCTGAATTTGTCAAATACGAAGTCATAACCTTCTCACAACTTACTCTCTACTAGAATAGGAGACACTCGGGAGCAGCTCGAGTGATAGTATTTGCTAACACCAACCATCTCCTGGTAAAGCTGTCGACGGCTTCCTCTTCCTTGGGTGGCTAACCAGCAAACCGGCAAAGACTCCCCAACAAGCGCCATCACCAATTTGCTATCGAAACGAAATGAGTGGACATTGAGTGAGTGAACTGAACGATTTTCCTGAGCACCCGTTTTTGGTACCGAGCGTAAATACTTCAGGTCGCGCCGAATTTCAACGCCAACGACAAAACGATCACAGGGGCAACCCTTACAGTCATCCATCAAAGACGCCGAAAGAAGTCAAGGTACGTTTTTCAGATTTTGTTATGGTAGAGGTGTACCCAGTTTTCGCGCACATAAGAAATATGATATCAATAAGCATATTGTAAGCAGCTTCAATCCCACACTTTGGACAGAATCATATTTTGATTTGGGAAAAAAGTTTTCTCTGTTCTCTACATTCCCCTTATTTTCCCCTCCATTTTATGGTGTAACTGAGGGAGCGAGCGCCATTTCAGAAAGAGTTTGCATTAAATCAGTTCTTACTTTTTTCTAGCTTTCAGGACACTGCCCCAGAGAACTTTTGTTTATTGTTGACAGTTCTGGGTCGGTCCAAAAAATTTACGATCAACAGAAAGAGTACTTAATGTCGTTACTCAATGAGCTACAGGTAAGGTTCCTCAACAGTTCAATTCGTGTGTCTCCACAGTTTACATACTATTTTAGAAAATTCGGAATATTTGTTCAGTTTGTTCGAAAATTGAACAAATTAGAACAAGTTGTTCAAAAATTTGGAATATGTCAGTATTTCAAAAAAATTCAAAAATAAAAAAAAAAAACAAATTTGACATTACATGAAAAGCAGCATCCCACAGTATGGAATAAAACTGCTGTTAAGCTGAAGGTCGAAAGTTCGATTCCGCTTGCTTGACAATTAGTTCTTCTACGATTCAGTCCGAGTTTAAATTGGTACCGAAATAAGCCACGGGGCAGCCACAGCCTACTTATAAGCAATTCTAGAAAGAAGCAGTGATTAAGAGCCTTGCGAATGGGTGATTGCTGCTGAAATGTGCCATTGCTTAGGCTACTTCCTAGTGCCTCCGTTATTCACAATGAGCGAAGACGTGGCAAGCTTGACATACTATTGTAAAGAAATACCCAGGTTGGAACACACCAGGCGAGCCGGTGCGATCATGCGTTTTTGCATCAAAACTTTGAGGTACTCCATCAAATTTCCCTGCTTTTTTGAAATGCAAATTTCCAGGTCACTAAGAAGTAGAAGTATTGCCCGAGCGGTCGTTTCCAAAAAAACCGCGTTCATTTACATATACGATTGCGGTTAAGGTCCGAGCTGAGGACGA